ATGGGAGGAGATTAGCGGAAGATCGTTCTTAATTATTTTTTTTTTTTTTTTTTTTAATTAGTTATCCCTATATATCTGTTTTTCTTTTTTCTCCCTTTCACTTTTCTTAATTGTTTCTTAATGATACATCCACAGGAAGAATAACAACGCCAACAATATTATTTCTTTTTTTATATATATATATCGCATATTTTGTTGGCCACCGTCCCATGTATGCTCCAGATTATAGAAAACAACCGTGGAAACGATTTTTACTTGGATGGCCTGCACTTGTAGTTACATGGTTGTACATTATCTGGTTTGTGTCCCGTATTGTAGAATGTTGGAGTAGACCAATAGTGAAGGGGAGTCGCTCAGTGATGGATCCCGGCTGGTATGTGGCACTTTTACCATCTATGTGTCCTCCCGTTATTTTTGTAGGTGTCTACGGGAGTTGGATTGGCTGGAAATTCTTTAGACATAATTGATTCTTATGTCTTCTACTATGTGCTTTTTTTTTTTTTTTTCTTTTACCGTGTGAAGAGAAGGAATGGAGTTTGTGTGTATACGTTGCTCTAAAAAATAAAATAAAGATATCTTGAGGTTACTCTTTTATGTTTTTTTTTCTTTTTTTTTTGCGGATAATCCTTCTGATTTTGCACTGCTTTGTGCATTATACTGAACAAGAAAAAAAAAAAATATATGTTTTTTTTTCTTTTTTTTTTGTTGAAATTTTCATTTTTTAATGATAATAATAATAATAATTATTTTTTTTATTATTATTTTCTAATTTGAAGGAGAAGAAAAGAAAGAAAAACTGTCTCTGGAGGAAGCTGAATGTTCTTCGCATTTGACTCTGATACTTCGAGTTCCCCCTACGACTCTCTTTCGAACTTGTGCACTATTCTTGTTATTGCAGAGGAAGCATCAGATGTTCCGCTTCAGCCGTTGTTTCACACTATTAGTGGGGCCTTACAGAAAGGAAGAGGAGATGGCGATGTTGTGGTGATGGCTGCACGAGCGTTGGGACTTCTTCTTGATAAGTTCTCACGGTGTTTTTCTCACTCTGAGAAGGACAAAGTATCAAAGATAGTGAAAAATTGCTTTGAGAATGTGTTTTCATGGGTAAAAAAACGTGAAGTAAATCTTAAACATGAAAAAACTACTGTGAGAGAATTAAAAGAGGAGTTACTAAATTGTCTTTCCCTTGCTGGTAATTGTTCGGGAATATCATCTGTGGTTCCATCCACAGAAGAGCAATTAAAGTTCTGTTTTAACGCATTAGATGGTTCAAAGTGGACCTCTTGCAAAGTACTGCAATACTGTATAGGACTCATTCGTCGGGGTGAATTAAAAGATACTGGTGATCATAAAGTGGTGGAACAGTTACTACATCATCATTTATCATCATTATGCCATCTTGATATTGATCATGAATGGGATGAACTCTTACGTATTGTTGTAGAAGGAATTATCACATACCGCATTTGGCGTGAAAAGAGTATGAATACCACCTTACCAAAGATTGGAAGGAAACGTCAACGACGAGAAGAAGAAAATATGATACGAAATAATAATACTTTTTCTAATGAAACATCCATGAAAAGCATGGAAACCTCCTTACTTGCTATAGGGGAACGTATTTTTACTAGTGGATCTGCAGAATCGCGTCTTCAACTTACATTGGCATGTATTGCAAGTGTGATGGAAACATCTTCTTCTCCTTTAGAGAGAAATAAAAAAGAATTTGAATGGCTTTGTAAGTTACTTCAGCATACCGCTACACGTAGTGCTGGATATTCAAGTCCTTTTGCATATACTCGTGAAAAGACAAGTAAAAGGGATCAATTATGGGTAGACACTTTTCAAGCTTTACCAAATTTACAATGGATAGTTCCCCCATTAGTATGGAGTGCATTAATAGTATTATCTAAACTTTGTGGTGCAAACTTTGGTTTTCGTAAAGAATATATGTGGGCTTGGCGTGGTGATGGTGGTGAATACTATCCTTACTCTAGAGCAGTTAGACAACAATTGACATCAATGTTTTTTTCCGCACAAACATCAAGAAAAGTTTTACAAACACGTCATATATTTGATCTTGGTTCTATGACTGATACTAGTGCTTTAACATTAGTGGTTTCACGAATTCATTTTCAACCAATTCCTAGTGTTCTTACATTTGACGGAAAACTAATGATGCCAGCGGAATCCCTAAAATTTAGTGAAGAGATGTCATCTTTACTTCAGGAAACACTTCGCTCCCTATCATTTGGTCATACACAAGTTGCTACACTAGCTCGTGCTATTCGTTTATACGTTATTTGCAGTGGAATACCTGTTAACCGAGATGAGGGAGTAGTGGCCGCCTTTCGAAGTCTTCACGCTGAGCAGAAACGTTCAGTTGTGGAAGATATTTCCGCCGTATTACTGCAGCGGGATAAACGATGGGCCCCCATCTTGTTGGAAGCTGGAGTGGCTGATGCACTTACCCAATTGCCAGTCTCTACTACCACAGCGGATAAGACTACTTATTCTACAGCAACTTCACAGAGATCTCCTCCCTTGGTTGAACTTATACGATCAGCAGGAAGTTCACCTCAGTTAACTCCAATAAAATTACCGGATTTGGTTGATTTTCCAAGGTTTCTTCAACATGCTTCATCAGAGGAGATGCTTTCATTTATTGAAGGACTGGAACATGTTACACTATCAGAAACTTCCCTTTTGGAAGTTTGTGGAAAGATAAAAAAAGATGCCGGAGTTATCAGACGAATGCGCTCTGCAACACATACTTATATTCTTCGTGTTTTACATCAAACAAGTGTGACTCAACAAGAAGGAAAATCTTTAGTGAATAGAGTATGTGATGCTTCTGATGTTATCAGCATATGTGCACCAGAGAAAAATACAAGTAACTATGCAAGATGTCCTAAAGGTCATCCTCTTCGGATACACTTTAGTATTAACTGGCGATGTAATCTATGTAATTCTTCAAATGCGTTTGGTTCTCTTGCATGTCGAGACTGTGATTATGATTTGTGTTCCGAGTGTAGTAATGCTAAACTTTCTCGAATGGACGTTAGTATGACAGCAGTTGTTGGAGATATAATTCGAGGTTGGCGTGAATGCCGAAGTAAAGAACAAGTAAGAGAGAACTCTTCGTCTGAAAAAATAAACCATACTGTTCTTTTTACTGCTAAAGGTATACTTCCAAGTGGTTTTTCAGCGTCTACTCTTCGAGGAGAAGAAGTACATTTTGCTGAAGTAGATAAAAAATGTGAATGTGGTATTTCTGTACCTTCTTCTATTGCAAATTTAATGGAACATATTCCTTCCTATAGTCCTTTAAAAATTTTCCTACACACCTTTGATGCACTTGAACAATGGAATGATATTGAACCTGCTATTGTAGATGCTTTGGAATCATGTGGTGCTGAAATATTTGAACGTGGCATAACGGGTATTCCTTTGCGTGTTATTCATGTAATTCAAGCTATAGCTCCGTATATATCATTATCCTTTAAACGTGATACAGCTCATTTTCTTGCTGTTGGATGCCGTCGATTTGGATTATATCACCTACAAGATGTAAATGCACGTGTACGTGGAATGATTGTAGGAGATATTAGCAGTAATGGATTGGCAACTAAAGTTTCTGTTAAAAGAGAAACTGAGGCGATAACACAGACACTATTTAATACTTTTATTCAGTATCCAACTTTAAGAAATAAGGTTGAGTTTAATTTTGAAGGTGAAGAAGGTACTGGTGAGGGACCAACACAAGAACTTTATGCAGAAGTTTCGAGACGTTACCGGGATATGACAAAATTATGGCATGAACGTGATGATGGGTCATGTATTGCCTTTCCTACTTTAAAACAAGTTTACAGTAAAGAATTTTATGTCCTTGGTGCCTGCTGTGGTCGTGCTTTTGTAGATGGTTATACAATGGATATTGATTTACTTCCTATAGTTTGGCCTTTTATTCGTTCACAATCATACTCTCCAGAGTTGTACTGGCGTGTTCTCTCTGAGTTAGAACCTGCTTTAACCAACTCGTACAATCATTTACTAAACTCTACGGATGAGGAGTTGGCCGAGATGGGAATTGAGCAGGATGAACACGGTACCCTCTTAACGGCATCTACTGCCAAGGCGTATGTGCAGCGGTGTGTGGAGGAACACTTGACGCATGCCTTAATGAACCTTCACTGGTTTTCGCTTGGTCTCTGCGGTGTGGTGGACCCCCGCGCCTTCCTGCTGCTCACGGATGAGGAGATGAGTGTTGTGCTGTGCGGCTCCAGCGGCCCGGACGACGGCAGCGAGCGTCTCTTTGGTGAGGCGGCACTGCGGGCGGCGTTGGTGGAGGCGCACGGCTACGCGGCGGGCTCGCGGGAAGTCGGAATGTTCGCCGCGATCGTCGGCGGGGAGTTCACGCGGGAGCAGCAGCGGCTCTTCCTCGAGTTCCTCACCGGCAGCCCCCGCCTGCCACTCAACGGCCTCGCCGGCCTCGCGCGGAAGATCACGGTGGTGCGCAAAGAACTCGAGGGCCGCGGCGAACAGACACTCCCCTCCTGCAATACCTGTTTTCTCTACTTTAAACTACCGCCATACTCCACTCACGACATTATGAAGGAACGGCTACTCACCGCCATCACAGAGGGAAGACAAAACTTTAGCTTGTCGTAATATATCAGCAGTATGTGTGCATTTCTGATTATTGGGGGTGTGCCCGCGTTCGATCTTTTTGCTAATTGTTTTTTTTTTTTTTTCTTGTTTTTCCCTTCTGGTGTGCCTTCCGTTTTTTTATTTGCTTCATTATATATATATATATATATGGTCATACTTGGATATAAAGAAGAGAAGGAGAAAATTAAAAAAAAAAAAAATAATAATAAATAAAAAGATCATCAAGTAAAACCCTGGGGGGTTTAAAAAGTAAGGGAAAGTGAAGAAGAAAAAGGTATAATTTCCGCATCGAATAAATAAAAAATGGATTCTTACCCAACCTTTTTTTATTTTATTTTCTCACCCTTACACTCGTATCTGGGTGAATAAAGGTGGGGGCAGAATTCATTCTCTTGTTTTCTCTCTCCCTCTCTCCTTATAATGTAATGAATTTGCCCTTATTGGAACTTCCCAATATGGTATTAAGATATTTTATTTGAAATATATTCAAACAAAATTTATCTGTTTTATTTTATTTTATTTTTTTCTTTAAAAACAAAAAAAAAAATATGATTACCAAATAATTATCACTTTCTCTGAAGTATCCTTCTTTTCGATTGTGTAGTGGTGGTATCATCGAAAGAAGATATCAAAAAAAAAAGAACATTATAAAGAAAACAACAATAGTGAGCAAAAAAAAAAGGAAAGAAAACAATAGCAAGAAAACGAAAAATAGAAACGAAGAAAAAAGAAAAACAAAAAAAAAGCAGGAAATAAAATGTCTACACCTAATACAACAAGACTACGGGATTTAATTGCCGCTGTACGTCAATGCAAGACTGCTGCTGAGGAGCGTGCGCTTATCAACAGAGAAAGTGCACATATTCGTGAAGCATTCCGTGAAAACCGACCGTTTCTTCGTACGCGTAATATGTTGAAGTTACTGTACATCTCCATGCTTGGTTACCCAACAGAGTTTGGTCAGGTTGAGGTATTGAGTCTGTTGGCGCAGGCAGATTATGCGGGGAAGCGTGTTGGTTACCTTACACTACAGATGGTGCTTGACGAGAATGATGAAGTACTTACATTGTCGGAGAACCACATTAAAAAAGATTTAACGCAAGGACAATCCCTCATTCAGTCTATGGCATTGAATGTGGTAGCGAATATTGCGAGTGAGGTGATGGCACGTGATATGCTTGATGAGATATCTAAACTTGTTACTTCATCAAATGCTTACTTGGGAAAAAAGGCTTGTCTCGCAGCTATACGAATTGTGAAAAAGATTCCTGACTATGCTGAGATATTTTTGGAGACATTTTCAAATTTATTTCTTGAACGTACTCCAAGTGTACTTATTTGTTCTGTTACTCTTGTTAACGAGTGTCTACAACTTCCACAGGGTGAACAATTTTTATCTAAATACCGTTTGATGGCAAATGCTGCAGTACGTGTTTTGAAGCAGCTAGTTTTATCGTCACGTGTGACGGATCAAGATGTTTGTGGAATTTCTGATCCTTTCCTTCAAGTAAAGATTCTGGAATTTATGCGACTTATAGGAAAAGGGAGTCCTGTTACTTCTGAAGCTTTAAATGATGTATTAGCGCAAGTACTTACTAATACCGATGGAAGTCGAAATGTTGGTTCTGCAGTTCAATATGAATGTGTAAGGACTATTTACGCTATAGAAGGAGATGAAGGACTTCGTACTTTAGGTATTAATACAATAGGTCGTTTCCTTTCTTCAACTGACAATAATCTACGTTTTGTAGCATTACAATCATTATTAAATTATTCTTCTCGAGATGCAGATGCTGTTCGAGAACATCAATATACAATATTGGATTGTTTGAAAGATGTGGATATTTCTATCCGCCGACGTGCTGTGGATCTTACGGTAGCACTTGTAAATGAAAAAAATGTCCGTTTGCTTGTACCTGATTTAATTTCTTATTTAACTGTATGTGTTGAAGAGATGCGAGAGGATGTGACGTTGCACTTATGTCGGATTATAGAGAGTAAATCACCAAGTACTGAGTGGCGTGTCGAACTTTCGCTTCGTCTTTTACGTTTGGCGAAGCAATATGCTCCAATAGATTTCGCTACTCGGTTTATTGCTTTACTTTCAAATGAATCCACAGAAATTCAAACATCGGCAGTTTTATCGATGTGGGAAGAGGCTTCATACCCATTTGATGCCCTTCATCAATCTCGCAAAGCATTTCTTTTGGCAGCCGTATGGGGTATTGGTGAGTATGCGGATCTTTTAATCCCTGCAAAAGGATTAAAACCAGAAGATGTAGCTATTTGTATTGCTGATATTACTAATAATAGCGCATTTAATATGATTAAATGCTATGGCTTAACGGCATTAATGAAAATAGCTTCTAGATTTCCATCGACAAAAACAACTGTTCTTCCAGTATTTGCAAATTACGCTACATGTTTGGATTGTGAATTACAACAAAGAGCGTGTGAGTATACTTCATTACTTGAATCATTTCCAGAGGAAGCTACTTTCAGTTTTTCTCGTATGCCACCTATTTATCAAGCAGATGAAGAAGAAGACTCTGTTCAACCTGTTCCTGAAGTAAATCTTCCACCTGAATTTTTACAGCAACAAGCTGCAGTTGCATTGGATGACTTATTTAATGTAAATGCAAATACTAGTCTTGCAGCTTCTTCTTCTGGAAATAAAAATATTCAACATACTGCTGCAGATATAGATGACCTTTTCAGTACAAAAAGAGAAGAAGCTTCTGATACAACAGCTTCTTATTTAAATTCGAATGGACCTACTATTGCTAATACAACTCTGGGGACAACGGTATTAGCAGCAGAACCAACAAAAGATTCAGTTGCAGCGGTACCAGTGTTTAACTGTGATGATCTCTCTGTAAGTGTGAGTGGCGTAGAGAAGGAAGGTCTAATAGCAACAAATATTATTGTAGAATCTAAAATTGATACTCCTTTGGAAAATCTTACAATACAAGTAGCAGTACCAAAAACATGTACGTTAGAAATTGGATCTTTGCCATCAACAGTAATTCCAGCTCATGGACGAATGGTACACCATTGTACTGTAGATAACAGAAAAAATACAAAGAATCCCCATCTCTTGATGCTACGGATCAAACTTTTGTATACAGTTAATGGGACTCCACGTTCGCAATTGCTACAGGTGTCTCAGGAAGTGTAACGATGTTGCCCTTTTACTCCTTATTTTATTTTCTTTCTTCCTTATGTTTCCACTGATTTTCTTTTATTTATCTCTTTCTATCTTTGTATTATCATGCTGTAAAGCACTTTTTGTCTTTATATATATATTATCAGTTTTCTCGTTTAGTTACCTATATATGTATATACATACGTACATATATAGAATTATCTGATTTAGGAATGTCGCTTTTGCAGATTTCCATACACAACAGAAACGATAAACAATAAAACCAGTAGCAAAGAAGCAATAGAGAGAAAAGAAAGGAAGTTTGAGGAGTTGCGAGTGATATCTGCTGCGTTCGTTTTACCGTTCGCTGCCTTTCTTACTTCGTTTTTCTTATGATGAGTATCTTTCTTTAAAAAAAAAAAAAAAAAAAAAATTCCCTCCTTATCTTCTTATTCTTGAATAACTCATGAAATACAACACAGGTGGGTTGTATCTGTATATATATATTTTTTTCTTTCTTTCTTTCTTTCTTTCTTTCTTTCTTTTTTTTTTCTCTTTTCTGGGGTTTCACCTGAGACGCTGCCGCTTCATTCCTCTGAGGTGGACGAGACAGACCGAAAGAAATCTCATCAAGAGAATAACTCACGAATAACTAACTAAGAAGGAAAAGAACGAAACACATACCCTGAGACTCTTATATCTAAGCAATCAAGAAGAAGGAAATCCCACACTAAAGAAAAGAAAAAAAAAAGAAAGACTCTACTATTAACGCACATCATGGCTGACAAGAACGAGGAACAGCAGAACACGGAGGAGTACGACTACGACCGTAAACTCTACCGCTGCCCCATCTCGTGGCCTATCACCGCCGACAAGCCCAAGATGACCAAGAAGGTGTACTCCCTCGTGAAGAAGACCGTGACGAAGAGCAAGAAGGGCATCGTGAAGGGCATCAAGGACGTCACGAAGGCCATCCGCAAGGGACAAAAAGGAATTCTCATCCTCGGCGCCGACGCCTCGCCGTACGATGTCGTCTCGCACTTCCCGGTGATGGCAGAGGAGGCGAAGATCCCGTACGTGTGGGTGCCGTCGCGTCAGGACTTAGGAACCGCAACCCAATGCAAGCGGGCCACCTCAGTTGTGCTGCTGAAGTCCGATCCAGATTTTCAGTCCAGCTACGAGAAGATTGTGTTGGCAATAGAGGACCTGAACTCAGAGGAGTAGAGTTGAGTGATGGAACTGTTGGAAATGGGTGAAAAAAGAAAAAAAAAACTTTTTTTTTACTGTGTGTGTGTGTTCTCGTTATAAATTCACGTTACTAATGCATGGTCATTCTGCAGTGATGGAGTGACAGGAGAGAGAAAAAAAAAGGAAAGAAAAGAAAAATGGAGCGATAGAGTAATGAAGTGTGACGTTCTTTTTCTTTGCTTTTTTTTTTTTTTCTTCCTTTTTTACTTTCGCACATGATTTGGCATTCTAGTAATGCTGTTGCGTTTTTTTTGTTGTTGTTGTTGTTCTCGTTTTTGTTATCCTTTCTCCCTTTACTCCTTTATTATGTTTTTATTTCTTTTTTTCATTTTTTATTTTTCTTCTTTTCGTGTCATGGGGTACACCCACTCACCCACACAAACAAACAACAACAAAAAAGAGAAATAAACCCCCTTTTCAACTGAAGACTTGTAAAAGGTTAGTGTTCGAAAGGGAAATAAATAAAAAATATACAAAAATACATATCACATTATTACATATAAACAACAGAAATTCTACTCTCTACTACCCTAATGCTCTTGAATGCTACTTTACACCGTAGTTGGTATGCTGCAGGTGATATTGTTCGAGCTGAGATTTGTCTCCATAGTCTCCCAAATACGCATGGTGGGATAACTAATGAACTACTTATGCGTTTTAGGCAAGTAGATAATTACTTTGCGGAAATAGATAATGATAATCCTCGTTCCATTCATGTGCATACATTATCGGCACAGATTATTGGTATTTGTGATGTGGATTCTCGTCGTATTCAATATGAGCTTAAAGAAGAAACGTCTAAAAATGAACAATCTAGAGCATTTGTTGAAGAAAAAATTTCAAAATATCATGAAATTCACAAACTTTTTTCATCTAAAGAGTTTTCCATTGCTAAGGAAATACCTTTTCATGAGAGAGAAACTAAGGCTTTCACAGTGACATTTGCTCTTCCAGATTACTTACCACCTTCATATCGTGGACAATGTGCGCGATTCTATTATGGACTTCATCTTTATGGTACTTATTCTGGACCACGTGGAAGAAGTATCCCTATGAAACTACGTCTTCCTATAAAAGTATTTTCTTCACAAGCAGTTATAAGTCCGTTATTACTTCCTCCATATTTTCCTTTAGAAAATTTTGACTTTGGAGAAAAAGTTGTCTTGCTACAACCTGTTCCTTCACCAGCTGTAACAGACCCTCTTCAAGATGATTTAATGCCATCTGATGTAGAGACTTTTAGTGTTCGTCACCTTTGGAAAAGAGCATCAAACTCAATTGCGAAGCAACTTTCTGAGCAACGAACTCCATTAGAGTACCCTGTAAAACTTGGAGGAGAAGTTGTAGTAAGTGTAATTATTCTATCTACAACAGTTAACATTGGTGAATCATTAAATGGTGTTTTTGTACTTCGACCTAATCTCAAATCTCAACTGATAAAAGTTATTGGAGGCGTTGAATTTCTTGAGTGTTGCTGTAGTGATCATTTAAAAAAGGGAATCACATGTTACCCACTTCCAGGAGAAAGGGAAAAGGGTCTGACAGTTGTGCAGACAACTGTAATTGAGGAGTATGAATGGTCTTTACTTGGGCGAGATTCTGTACCATTTTCTGTTTCCTTTACAAATCCCAATTATTATGCCTCTATGCAAACTGATGTTGTAACAACTTTTTGGCAATTGCGAATACGATTTCTTTGGTCTCATCCATCGGCTGTGCAGCAGTTCTACACAGGTCATAGCGATGGAATTGATATAGCTGAAGATGAACCAGAATTGATACTACCACTAACGATTGTACCACCTCCTCACCGTGAACACCCTCGTATGGGCAACACTGTGCAGGTCCTCTGCTAATTTCTGTACAATAATTACTATTATAATTATTATTATTATTATCAGGAATTATGGAGAGAAATGAAAGGAATTCTAAAGTTATTGTATCATACTACCACTACAAGTACTTCTTATTTGGAATTAGGGGTATTGACAAGTTAAAACCTGCTTTCTAACGGACTTTCTAGCACCAAATGATCTTTTTATTCTGTAATGCGGTGTAGAATCTTTTTATTGTTTTTATTTTTTATTTTTACATTTCTTAAATAGTTTCTTTTTTATCTCGGATTCTTTTTCTTTTTTTTTTCTTTCTTCCTTTTTTTCGTATTCTTGAGGTTGTATCATTTTCCAATGTCTGACGAAAATTTCTCTACTTTATCACTGGATGATGAGCTACCTCTTATTATTGTACGTAAGAGTGGTAAGACTATAGCAGTCGTGAGAGATGACACTTTACAGGGTTGTTTCTTACCTTTTTCTCTGAGTGCATGTGATGTGCAGCGCGTATCGGATCAAGTGGCATTACAAGAAGCCCGTGCGACTACTGCCTTTGATGTTGTAACACGTGAGTGGGCGGTAAAAGTAAAGTTGCGAGTGGCACTTGATGGTGTGCGTAATCATACCCATTGGATTTTGCTTCAATCTAGTAAAGGAACTACACAGGATAATCATACAGAAACAAAATTCTTTAAAGGTACAGAAGAGGGATTACATGAGGCTGTAGCGTGGTTGAAGTGTAGAAAACTTTATGGTTCATATGAAATATGTATGGCGAGTGAGCCGGTACTTTCTGAGTTATCTGTTACGAAAGAGATTGGTTGTCTTCATCTCCCTCAAGAGGATGAAGGAGTTAATGAACGAGTTATTTTTGGGGACTCTGTGACTGAAATAGCTCTTTTTATAGAAGAATTTTTGCAATCCTTTTTTCAAGGCATAAGAACTGAATCCACAGCTGTTTTTTGGCCTTCATTCCTTATGCATCCAGTAAATATTCGTTACAAGATAAATGAAGTGCGTGCAGCCGAACACAATGCTTTATTACTTCCTATGCGTCCTTTACTACATTTAAAACAACGAATAAAAGATTGGGCAACAGCGGATGAACTTCGACCATCACCAGCAGCGAGTGTACCACGTTTGGGTCAAGCGTGGGAAAAACATCTCGTTCGTAATGCACATACACATTTAAGGAGTACTGTACCTATACCAGGAGGTCAAACATGCCTTGTAAGTGGTATGTACGACTACTATCATTATCGTGTGGATGGATTTAAGGATGATGGTTGGGGTTGTGCATATCGTAGTTTACAAACAATTTTATCTTGGTTTCAATATGAAGGACTTATGGATAAGCCGATGCCAGATATTCGTGGTATTCAAGAAATTTTATCAGAGAAAGATCCAGAAAAAATGAATCGTAAAGATTTTTTAGGATCTAAAGATTGGATTGGATCTTTTGAAATTATGATTGTAATTCAACACTTTATTCCAGGTATTGAATGTACTGTTAAACGTATGGAAAGTGGTTCTGATTTAGATACTGATCCTACAGTACAACAACTTCTCTTGGATCATTTCCGACAAAAGAGAGCTTGTCCTATAATGATTGGTGGAAGTAGCTATGCCCATACAATACTTGGTATCGATGTGAATATAGATACTATGGAAGCTCGATACCTAATTGCGGATCCTCATTACTCTAGCCCAGAAACAGTGATGAAGACAGTAATTAATAAAGGCTATGTAGGATGGAAGGAAGCTGGGAAATTTTTTGAGACCAAAAGTTGGTATAATTTGTGCATACCACAACTAAACTCCTATGATCCACGATAAGGAAAAGAGAAGAAAGAAGAGGAGTTATGATCGTCTTTTCAATGGTACAACAACGGAATGGGAGGACTTTCATGAACCTTTTTTTCTTTTCCCTCTGGTTTTCCCCGTTCTTTTTTTTTTTTTTTTGCTTTCACAAATATTCTAATATATGATCAATGAATTAAATAACACACTCACTCTCTCGTGTTTTTTTTTTTTATTTTTTTGCCCTTTAAAAAAATTATTTCTTTTTTTTTTTTCTTCTTTACTCTTGTGTGCATAAAAGAGTTAGGAGGAGGAAAAAAAGAACATGTTTCTTCGACGTGTGGCACCAAAGGGTGCGGCATCAATGGCCGCTGTTCCACTTCTGGTCAGTTCCCGTGGTTACAACATGTTTGTTTTCCGTGATCCCGCACGCCGTCCACAGCTGACAGAGGAGGAGCGTTCTAAAGTGGTTATTAACCAGGCAGAATGGCCGGAAGAGTTCAAGGACTTTGATCCTGATGATCCGTACAAGAAGAGTCCTGAAATTATTGAGGGATTATCCAGCTGGAATCTCTTCCTTTGGGGAGTGGAATGTGCATTTATCTATCAGTTCTATGAGCTGGTGTTCCCAAGGAGTATTTGATAACATGATTGATTTATTGTTGATAAGAGACCTTAAAAAGAAAAAAAATGTAGGATGCCTGGCATTACAGTACAAAATAGGTAGTACCGGTTTGTAGCAGCAGTGGGGGCGCTATAAAGAAGCAAAATAGATGAAAAGAATATAAAATACCCTTTTAACCCTTATAGTATTCATATATATATATATATATGAATATTTTATTTCATGGGTGTGGGGCATGTTTAGGCCTTATGTTCTTTCATGCATTGTTTCTTTTGTGAACACAGCAGCATGCTGGTTTGGTGCTCTGTAGGAGAAAAAAAAAAAAAGAAAAACAGAAGAAAGAACCTTCCTTCTGTCACGTTAGCCGATTGTGATTATTTTAGTGATTACGTGAATTCATCTATTGAATGATTCTTAACCAACCACTAATGGATTTTTTTTTTTTTCTGTTTGTCTTTAGTATTTTTGTTATTATTGTTATTGTCTTTTTTTTCTTGTTTCTCTTGTCATTTTTTTTGCATTATTTGTATACTTTTTAGTGTATTTTGTTTTTTTTTTTTCCTTCCCTAATACCCTTGATTTCCGTTTCCGCTCTGTGAGAAACCACGTCGACGGTGTTTGCTCATTTTTTTCTGGGAACTTCTTCACGCAATCTATCTTTTATTTTTGCAGTGGTTACTCTGTTCACCGGAAATATCTGCAATGCCATTGACACACAGCGCTGACGCGGAATGCGGGGATATTGTGTTTGAGCGTCCACGACGTCTGGGGCCGGGAGTGGAGGTTTTCAATGCAAATGATGTGCCAATTACACCTATTGGTCCATGTGTTCAACCAGAGGAGTATCCAAGCAAACTAAGCATTAATGAGAACACCTTTTCGTGTTTTAACAACACAGAAAGTACACCACCGTCGTTAGGCTCATTTGCATCTCAAATGGGGGGTCTCAGCGAATCTCAAACACGATCTCTGGAAAACTCCAGCAGTTTTTCTATGCGGAAAAGCCTCACAAATAATCACCGTGTTTTGCAACACCAACTCCGACGTATTCTTCTTGTGGGAAAACCGGGACTTATCTGTACACATGTGGCATCCAAGTTATTAAAGAATGGACATCATGTGCGACTGTTAGAGCGTGATTACCGTAGTAAAATAGCTCTTCGAAGTTTAGCAAAACTTGTTGAAACTCGACCCTCACGTTTGTCATTGTTTTACGAAGATGATATTTCATTGGCTGTAGCTGACTGTGATGGTGTCGTTTACCTTGACGGTCCTGACACTTCAGATGCTTCCGATACCGAAGAGATTCAGAAGCGCTTTTTGGAATCCATGCAAGATTTATTTATTTCCATAAGAAACAATGGTAAAAGTGTTCGATGGGTTGTTTTGATAACTCCGGCCTCCAGTATGTTTCCTGTTGAAACTACACTACTTGAAAAGAAACGTCGAGAACAACAAGCCCAACGTGTAGCACTGCGGGAGGCAATGCGTTTATCAGAGAAGTCAGGTGTTCCATTGACGGTGATTCTCCATTCCATGGTGGTGGGACCATCCCTCATTGGCGAGTGTGACGGTAACGTGCAGGCCTTTGTGAACTTCTCGAGGCAAAAACGATGTTTCACCACTCCGCTTTATTACAATATAGTGGATGTGAGAGATGTTGCCGAGGCATGTGTTGCCGTATTGTTATCTCCTGCGGCTGCACATCAGCTTTATATTCTCTCTGCTGGTGAAATGAGTCTTGGGCAGATGGCGACGACGCTGCATGAGTGTATTCCTACGCTCTCATCGCCCACACTGGAGTTACCAGCGCCTGTCGCAAAGTTGTTGATGAAACTCGGCGTCTTAAATCTTATTGGGTGTCACTTTTGTGAATGTATTGCAAGCGAGCGGTTTGGTTACCGCTACACCTTAAGTAGTCGAAAGGCACAACGTCAACTTGGAATTCAATTGCGCAGTCCACCGGTAGCTCTTATTACGGCTGTGGCACAAACACTCAATCTACCAGCAGAGGAACCGCAGGAACATCTTGTTACTGTTCCTCCCCTTCATGTAAAGATTGATGGTGCTCGTTGGCAGAGATGGCAGAAGGGATTTCTTCTTGCTGGAATGTGCACCGTTTTTTGTGCGATTGGGTATGTTGGCGGTATATACTTTTTTTCAAGGCAAATAGAAGTGAAATGCAAATAAATGCAGCTACATCTAAAGTGAGAATCACAGTGAATTCTAATATATATGCCCCTTTTTTCTTTTTTTTTTTCTCTGTGGTCTCCTTTATCCTTTACCCTTTATATATTTATGGGTATATATATGTGTGTGTGCATTTTCAATAGTGGCCTCCTTTTTCTATATTGTATCCCATTCACTTTCACTTAAACAAAATAAATAATGATTGTCTATTTGGTTTCGTGGTAGGAATTTTTTTTTTTTCTTATTTTTCTCATGTGTCTGTTTTCCTTTTTTTTTTGTTGTTGTACTTACTTGCCTAACAGACACGTGAGAACAACGAAAATCAAAAACAAACAAACAAAAAAAAAAACGAAAAAAAAAAAAAAATACATAAGTAAACAATTTATATTGCAAAGAATTGGTTTCCTGTTGCTGACAGCTGTTACCTTTTTTTTTTTTTTTAATGTCTTGGGACAGCCCAGACTTTTTACTATCTGGGAGAGGTAATATTGCTGTTTTTCCTTTTTCTCATTCCCCGCACTCTTCCTATCTCGCCTTAAATATGATGGTACATAATGGGAAATGAGCTACAATGGTGTAGCAAGATCCGTAGTATTTGACCATCGTGGTAAGATAGTGATGGGTTTGAGGGGATCAGCACAATAGACTGAATGAGACGAAGGTTAAGCGAATGAAGAAAGAAAGAAAAATGAGAAATACACACACACACACACTCATGTACACACATATAAACAGAGATACTTCTATACACAGAAGGCAAAAAAAAAAAAAAATGAGAAGTTGTAATTTGGATACCACTTCTTTCGGCGGATTCTTACAAGGCTTTATATATCTGAGTAATAAGCATTAGAGAAACGAATTTCACTGATGTCAGGTATGTTTTTTTTTTTTTTTTTTTTTTTTTTTTTTTTTTTTTTTTTTTTCGTTTTTATCATCATTTTTCATTTTTATTTATTGATCTGGCTGTTGAAGGGATCAAAATAAAAGCAAAAAATAAAAAAAAAAAGAAAAAGAGCGATCTAATGAAGAGTGGATGATCATGGTTATGAAGAGAAGTATCAGGAGATATGCGGTACGAGAGATTGTTCCCGTAAACTTCTTATTCCTTTCACTTTTTCATGGACTTTATTGAAAAACTTTTCGTATAAAAGTAAATCTTCTTTTTTTCTAAATAGCTTTTCTTTTTGAGTGACTCTATCTGATTGAAGACAGATTAAAGATGTAACTCCTATTTACGTACATACAGATGTATGTTTCTTTATATATGTGCGTTTATTATAAATAATGCGTTGACTTGTATGTATATGAATCTATATATAGGTGTTAGAGAGGTTTTTCTTGCATAGAAATAAATCACCTTACCGTCCGTAGCAATGGAGACGAAGAAAATAGAGGGAGTATTCTTTGAGTAAGGTGTTCATAGGCTGATTTTTTTTTCTTTTTCGTAATATAGGTTGAAAGAGAAAAAAAAAAATTCTGATTATATGAGGAAAAGAAAGTACCAAACAAAACGATGACTTTTAGTGAGAATGTTATAGCAATATATTTTTGTCTTTTTTACGTCTGATGTGCTTTTTAAGTTTTACATGTAGAATATTATGGATGGTGGAAATGCTCTCTGCTGACTGTTTGTTTTCTCCTTTCTGCCGCTTGTGTCTTTTATTATTATTATTATTATTATTATTATTATTATTATTATTATTTACGTGTCATTTCTGATTTTTTTCATTGCTTTATTTGCCAGTGCTATTGCGCCAGGCGAACATGGTACATCAATGGCCTCCCATTCCCAGGGATCACATGGACGTCCATGAAGGTCAGACTAATTTCTAAGATGATATTCTTTTAGTTTTATTTTTATTCTGCGGAGAATTAATACCGCTGCCTAGTCCCTTTGTTTGGTGATTTCTTGCTGTGTACTTGTTTTCTTCTTTTTTTTTTTTCGTTGTTGGTTCTATCTGTTTCCCTCTTCACATATATTGCTCTCTTTTCCATTTTTTTTTTTTTTTTCATTTTCCTTACGATTTGCATTAGAATACAAACGAGGAGCAAAACAGGAAAACAACAAGAACAACAAGAAAAAAAGAAACGAGAAAGTGAAGTTATCACACTCCCAATTAGTGACTGTTTTGTTTTTTTTTAAATTGTTTTCATTGCTTCTTCAAAAAAAAAAAAAAAATAGTAATAATAATAATAATAATAATAATAATAATAATAATAATAATAATAATAATAATCGGAGTACTTTAGAGTGAGATTTATGTTTCGATGCGCAACACATTTGGAGTCTCTCTTCGTGAAGTGCGTGGCCACACCGCGTCGTGTGTCCAGTCGGTATTACTGTCGAAGCTACACACATCGCAATGCGAAACCGAGTAACCATTCAGCGAATCGTACTAGTACTGGAGCGGCGGGAGTAGCAACACCACCAATAGAAGAATCCACAAACAAAACCACTAGTCAGAACGAAGCACAAGAAGATGTTGGTCCATCACGAGAGAGTGTAGGAAGACGCTTGTTCACTTCATGGCAACAAGGTGTAGTTGCGAGTATTGGTGCTGTTATGGGGATAGGTGCTATTTGTTTCTTTTTTTATGCACCCGTGAAGGAAGATACTGTACATCACACAGCTGTTGTGGCATCTGAGGCTCTGGGAGATGTACGTTTGCGTGAACAAGCTATACAACTTTCAAAGGCTGTTGTAGAAAGTGTTTTAAATGATCAAAAAACTTTAGAACTTGTTGTGCGACTAGTGGTACAGTTGTTAAGACAAGATGACACTATGATAGCTGTTTCTTCTTTTCTACGAGCCCTTTTTGAGGATCATTATACTCAGGAGGTAAGCAAGAAATTTGTTCTCATGACTGTACTTGACCCATGGATTCAGGAGCAGTTGCGTGGTATAGCGAAAGACTTGGCGAAAGGATTATTGTGTGATCCCGAAATAAAAGAGGCACTTGTTAATTTACTAACAGTTTCTGCTGCTACATCATTGCAAGATGAGGAGTTGCGTTGCGATGCGGCACGTGCCGTGAGGCTTGTTGCGAAGCTTGTCATTAACCCATGGTCCTGAAATTGTTTTTTTTTTTTTTTTCTGTTTGTTTGTTTGGGTTTTCTTACAACCCCCCATTCTGGAAATGGTAAGAATAGTTTTCTTTAGAATTTTTTTTTGTTTTTGATTTCCATCCCTTTGGTTCTCTAATAGAGAGATGGAGAAAAATTCAAAAGTATAGGATGGAATAGATGCTCTCTTTTTATATATCTATATGTCTTTCTTTATTTCTTCTGTATCTATTTCTGTATATATGTAGTATTAGTACTAAAACAAAAAAAAATCTTTTTTTTTTTTTATTTTAGTACATTACACGGATAAAAGAAATAATGGTAGAAACTTCTAAAGATCTGCTAGTTGATTTACATATCAAGTTTATACTGAGCCAAGATGAACAAAAAGACAAGATGAGCTACTGGACATTTCAACATTTAAAAATGAATGGTGTTTTCTGGGGTATTAGTGCTATGAATCTTCTAGGTCACCTTGATAAGTTCAAGCGGGAAGATGTGATTTCTTTTGTTCTAGGGTGTTGGAACAGTGACGGTGGTTTTGGTGGGAATGCCGGTCAAGACTCTCATATGTTGTACACTTTGAGCGCTATTCAGCTTCTTTGTTTATTTGATGCGCTTGATGTCATTGACACGGCGAAGTGTGCGCGTTGGGTGGCGTCGCTGCAGCTGCCGGACGGTTCCTTCCAGGGTGATGTGTGGGGGGAGGTGGACACGCGATTTGTGTACATTGCGATGAATTGCCTCTCGCTGCTGGGGCGCCTCTCGCTGATGGACGTGGAGGCGGCCGTCGGTTGGGTGCTGCGCTGCCAGAATTGGGACGGCGGCTTCGGCACGACCCCCGCCGCGGAGAGCCACGCCGGGCAGATCTTCTGCTGCCTCGGCGCCCTCCGCATCGCCAACGCCCTCCACCGCGTGGACGGCCAGCGACTCGCCGCGTGGCTCGCGATGCGACAACTCCCCACCGGCGGCCTCAACGGGCGGCCAGAGAAGAAGGCGGATGTCTGTTACAGCTGGTGGGTCGTCGCCTCCCTCGCCATGCTGGGCCGCACTAGCTGGATCGACAGAGACGCACTCTTCGCATTCATACTCACATGTCAGGACGAAGAGGATGGCGGCATCGCAGATAAACCGGGAAACGTCGCAGACGTTTACCACACCTTTTACGGTCTCTGCGGCCTCAGTCTCCTCGGTTATAATCACTACCCACTCGCCGAGATTAATCCAGTCTACGCGATGCCATACGATACACTTGAGCGTCTCGGGGTATCGGAAGAGAGGGGTCTACTCGTAGGAAAGAGAGGGAACTAGCCCAAACATCGCTGTGATGTATCTCGTTTCCACTCTCCCCTTCCTTCCTTCCTTCCTTCCTTTATACGTACTGAGAATGGCATAGTTGTATTTCTCTGGAAGAGAGAGAGAGAGAGAGAGAGAGAGAGAGAGAGAGAGTGGGGAGTGAACAAGGCGGTTCAAAGAAGGATATGGAGAAGAAGAAACGGACAATAACAACAACAACAACAAAAATATGCTGGAAGAAAAATTGTTTTTCTATTATTATTATATTTATTGTTATTATTATATTTATTATTATTCTCTTTGCTACGTAGGAAACTATTTATTTGAGTAATTTTTGTATTCTTTTATTTTTTTTTATTATTCTTTTTTCTTTCTTACTTTTAATGGCAGTGACAGAGTGAGGATGAATAATAATGCAACGTATTGCCATTAATGCTTCTTTACGACGTTTCCTTTGGGTTGTTCAACAGGAACAAATTCAACAACAACATCAACAGCAACAGTTATTGTTTCAAAAATATCGTTTGACTACCGTGGACGAAAGAGCAGTACCTGGTCTCGTGAACCACCGCCGGTTACTGCAGAAAATTATGGACACTGAGGAGTCTGATCACATAAAAGGCAAACGTATTCGAGGGGTTTTAAAAAAAATGGAAGCGAATTACATGAATTGGTTAGAAGAGTGCGGGGCCATGGAGTGTCTGCAGCTGCTCGAGACTTTAAGAAAGGCGTCGCGATACTTCAAGGGGAATCGTGGCAGCACAACAGATGCCCACTCTAATAAAAATAATAATAATAATAATAATAATAATAATAATAATAATAACAATAACGATTGGTCTGGTGCCTCACCGTACTTTTCGCCAGAGTTCAGTGATTGGCTCTGCGCCGTACTGCAGCGAGGTGCGCGATATGCCTCGCGTCCTGAGGAGGAACTCGCGTTGCTCTCCGCCGCTGCTGAACTGGAGCTGGCAGACACACAGACACTGCAGCTACTCACTCATAAACTAACGAGTCGCGATTATACAACAAAGGCATCGCCTGATGATCTGGTACGAGTTCTGCGACTGGTGTCATTACTTGTAAAGCGATGTCGAATGCCAATTCCCCCCTTAGATCACGTACTCTGTCATTTACCGAGTACCACTCTGGATTCAAGACAATCTCTCACTGTACTTTCATCTCTCTTACGCTTACGAGAACGACATGGTTTCGATGTTGCTCGGGCAGTCTCACGCCGGGCTACCGCACATGTTGAGACATATACAGCGAGAGATGTTATTTTTGCATTGGAGGCTATAGCCCTTTTAAATTGCTGTCATGAGGCATACATAGGGGCTGTATTGGATCGATGTACCGCCCTTCACACACAGCTTCAACCACACGAACTTGGTAGTATTTGCAAATATGTTGCGATGCTAAATACATCTCGGATAACTAACGATACAGCATTGTCTTGTGCCAAAGAGCTGCGTCGACTTCTTCCTGCACTTTTGATTAGGACAGAACAACTTCTTGGACGATTCTCTCTTCGTGATGCTCAATGCATATTAAGATGTTTTGAACGACATAAACTACATCATTCTGTGGTTTTTTCGCGACTGACACCTTTGGCTTCAGAGAATTAAATGGAGAAGATTCTTCAGAATCAGTGTAATGAAAAAAAAAAAAAAAATCTTTTTTTTTTTTCTTTTGCAGATTATTCAACCAAAAAAATTGGTTTGCATAGAATACATTATATACATACATACATATATATGTATTTCTGATGATGGTGTTGCTCTAATNCTCTCTTCGTGATGCTCAATGCATATTAAGATGTTTTGAACGACATAAACTACATCATTCTGTGGTTTTTTCGCGACTGACACCTTTGGCTTCAGTGGTGGTCCCTGTGCTGGTCGGCGGCCTTCGGGGTGGAAAAAAAAAAAAAAAAAAAAAATCTTTTTTTTTTTTCTTTTGCAGATTATTCAACCAAAAAAATTGGTTTGCATAGAATACATTATATACATACATACATATATATGTATTTCTGATGATGGTGTTGCTCTAATACCCTAACTCTAACCCACACTTGCAAATACACAAACGCACACACATACCATTCTCTCTTTCTCTCTCTTTTTCTCTCTCTTCTTCTTTTTACACATATACACTGTAAAATTAACTGGTTTAAAACAATAAAGGTAAAAGAAACCCCCAAGCGAAGGACTACATAGAAAGATACGGGTTGTAAAAAAAAAAAAAAAAGATGAGTAGTGTAGTAGAGGATCAAAATGAGAAAAGTTTGTCCATTGAAGACCCACTTTTAGAGCGTCTGCGGGTGAAACATGAGCAGCTTCGTCTTTCTCACCTTAAACAGTTGCAAAAATCTTTAGATGAAGAACATTCCATGACGTATGCGAAAATGAATAAACTTCCTGTATCTTTGGAACTAGTTTCAGATGAGATAACAGTTGCGCTGAATGAAATTGGCGCACGATGTGAAGAATACCATGTACCCCAAATAGGACAACTTCTCAAAGATGTTCGAGCCATGATGAATCGACAGTTAAGAGAGGCATATTCACACTTAGAGGAAGGCTATAAGTCTGCCTTCCACAAACTGAATGAAGAGGCAATGGAAGCACGGCGAAAGCGGGAGTTAGAAGAACAAAAAGAGCAAGATCGACAGCAACGACTACAACAACAAGAGAAAAAGAAAGATAATGAAACATTAACAGAGTCTACGATACAACATCATTTAAAAACAGATCTGGATTCATTTATTGAAAGACGAAGTCAAAGTACATCTAATATTAAAAGTCAGAAAAAAACTACGGCGCCAAAAGTATTTTCCGTACGAGAAGCTTTTTCAGTTACGACAAGTTTTTTTGCAGAGATGTTAGCAGTTTTATTACGATGTGAAGTAGTACGTATCTATCTTTATGACGAATATGAGAATTTAGTTCCCTCTGCTCGATTCCCTCTCAGTGCCAAAAAAGGAGATCCAATGGCAGGAACAGATTTAGAATTGATGCTAGCGAATGAAGTACATCGTACAGTTTGTCGTAAGTGTATAGCGGTAAATGGAAAAGAGGCACAACATGTTACAATAAGTGAAAGAGATCGTGAAGTAATGGAAGAGGAACTTAGACAAAGTGGTTGGAAGTCTATGACTAGTTGTCTTATTTTTCCTATCTTGTCAAATGAAGGATTTGGACGTTCATATGGAATGATTCATGCGGTAAATAAGCAAGGTATTTCTTATGAACAACCTGGTGTTTTTGATGAGAATGATGAAGTACTTATGTCTGTGGCGACACGACTCTTAGGTGCTTTGTTAACTCGTTATCCTGTAAAATATTTTATGTTACCTGTTGGAAATCTTATACAAAATTATGTTGATCCACAACTATCGAAAAATGTAGACGGAGTTCATCTTCCATCACTTATAGTGGATGAAGTAGAGGCCGCTGCGGAAGTTGGAAATAAAGCTATTCAAATGTGTACCCCTATATTGGTATATCGTGCTCCTATAAATGCTATTTATCAGTCACGTACACTTCGAAAGAAAACTCGTAAACTTGAAGTACTTAATATGATAGACAAAGGTTTGTCTACTGTTGAGTTTAACCTAGTAGCACTTGAGGAACTTTGGAAAACAGGTCATGAGGAGAATACAGTATTATACAAACATTGTCAACAACTTAACGAACAAGTTAATACTCTACAAATACTACTTCGAAATGTTTTAGATGGTATAGGTGCCTCACGTACTATAAGTAATACAATGGAACTATCCAACTATTTACAAATGCTAGAACTTTACTCTCGTCAAGAAAATATTCCAATGATTATGGATCTTATTTCTCAAGTATTACTTAAAGCGAGAGTTCAAGATCAAATTCCACTTGAATCTCAAACTATTACAACAAAACGT